ACATTTACCACAAACATTGTTCCCCCTACCAAGAACACTATCTACTCCCCACCTCTCCATCTTACCTGGAAAAGTTTGATTCATCCTTTAGGTTTCTGAACTTGACATAGATAAATGCCACATGTGTACACAGTGCTCAGGCTCAGGGTTTCTTAGCATTCACAGTGCAGTAAACATTTCATTTAGAGCACATTTCATAGCCCGAGCTCAACTATTATTTAGGTAATTATATTTATAATATATATTTCCCAACTAGACTAAAAGTTTCTGGGGACAGTGACTATGACTGTCTTTCTTAAGGAACATTTGCTGTGAATCTGTCTGGGCCAGTTTGAAGCATGTGTGGGAACACTGAATAATTGAGTTAGGAAAATATGCAACGATTAGAAAATAATGTAAGACAAGAATGTAGGGCCAAATTATAAAAGATCTTAATTGCCACGACAATTTATATTTCATCCTAAAAACAGTGACGATTCATCAAATGTTTATAAACTGAAATTATCTAATCTCTACGTTTAAGACTAAATCTGGCAGCAGGCTATATGGCTGATATGGTAGAGACTGGAAACCAAGAGACTATTAGAGTAGATTATAAAAAATGACTACACATATCTTCTGCCCCCATATGCACTTCCCCTTGGCAGTGACTTTGCTATTCTCCCTATCCTAAGCCTTTAAGTTTAAGCTTGACCATGTGAAATCTATAGAATTTACTATGCAGGATCTCAAGTTTACAGACAGGTCATTCAGATAAATTGTCATAATAATTGTTGCCATTCCTTAAAATGTTCTTATATTTAGGAACCTACTTCAAACATGACCAAGTCATTTCTGTCTAAATCCCATTTCTCAGAGCAAGTTCCATATAGATAATGACAAGATTTGATAATCATTTTATTTGCCTCCATCATTGAAGTTTCAGTAACTCTAAAATCATATTGACTTTATGAAATTGAATCTAACCCTAGTTTTGCAATACTTATTCATGAGTCTCTCATGAAAGTGCTGATATGAATCAAGATCTAATACCTGATTGTCACATATGCAGAGCTTTGGGTGAACACACACACACATATTCCCTCACACCTAAACCTACAGTAAGTAAGCCTCTGAAGGAAATTACTGTCTTAAAATACTTCTATATTTCTTTTTAATGGAGCATATAAAATACCTTTTACCCACACATTATAGGATTAATTTTTAAAAGCATCACCTTCTACAAGCAGGTGCAAAAACCCTTGTCTTCTCTCAAGGAAAGACCAGCCAACGAGCGGTTATTCTGGTGATGTAATGCTTGCTAACTTATTCTCTTACAGACGTAATTGGGGAAGATGCTTTTTAGAGTATCAAACGTGTATTGAATTTAACTTTCTTACATGACTAATTTTAGCTCATAAGCCACCTCTGGTACTTCATAAACGTATCACTTAGGACAGATCTGAAATGATTATGCAAAGTCATTAGACTAGAGAATTTCTTTTAAGCACTGGCAGCTGTACCCACCAGCATTTGCTAATGATAATCTCCCACCTTTCTTGAGAAATCACTTACTTCCATATCCTGGTCCTTATGTAAATAGACAAAGAATACACTAACAATAGCCAGGAGCAGATCATTTTTTCTTTCTTTCTCAGCATAGATACGCATTAAAGTCAAATAAAAAGGAATGGAGACCTTACATGTTGTTTTTTTTTTTTTTATTTTAAATCAAATTCATCACAGTCTGCCTTTTATGATTGTGTATAAACTTCATTTTCACATTTCAAAGATAAAAAAAAATTTGAAACCAGTATTCAAATAAGCAGGGGTGTTCACAGTGATATAAACTTCTGCCTAGTGAGTAACCTACAGGGTTGTGTTGATGCTGTAAGTGAAGACCCAGTACCCATCACATAGTCTAATTCTATGAAGTGATAGATAGGACAGGATAAATGTGTGTTAGTTTCTACCAGTAAAGTGTGCAGAAATGCAAACACCAACCTACGAATTTCAGGCAGGTATTATTTTCATGCAATAGCACATTTCCATTCCCTTTTCCTCCACCCCCAAACTCACTTTTTTGAGCAAACAATTACAATAGTCAGCATGTTGTGAAGAACATAATTTGGTAATGGAGGGTCATGATACCTGAGCAGACTAGTGGTTTATTTGATCTGATGCCCAGGAAAAAAGCAATTCAGACTGCTAAACCAGCCATGTTAATTGAAGCACTGGAGGTAATCCAAAGATGAGCTATAAGCACTCGTAGTAAAAATGCAGGAAATTTACTATATTAGAACTTTTCCTCTTGTTTCTTTTTTTCGGAATATCTTCCTAACCCTTTGAGAAAGCAGTTTATTTTTAGTAAACGAGCCTTTCTTGGGACTTTTCGGAATATCTTCCTAACCCTTTGAGAAAGCAGTTTATTTTTAGTAAACGAGCCTTTCTTGGGACTTTTCTACTTGTTCAGGTCATGGTAATACAGCATTGGGATGGATAGAATTATACAATCATAGAATATTTCAAACCTGGCTGTGAATAATGTTTCTACCATATAAGAGAGTGGTAAGTCAGTGACTTCAGTGAATCAAACTTTCTCCATCTATTAAAATGAAACAAAATATTAATTATTAAAAGAATGTATATAAAGTTCTTGGCAAGTAGTAGGAACTCAATTGATAGTAGCTATGGTTATTACTTTTTTTTTCAATATACACATAATTTCAGGCCACTTCACTTTTCAAAGTTGAAAACTAAATTATATAAAAAATGATTAAATACCCACAATAGACTGGATCTAATCAATTTTAATCAATTTTATCCACCTTTTGATTATACTATAAAACATTTGATTTTTCATTGAAGATTTAGTTTGTACTTGATTATTAATTTATCATTATTCAGTAGTCTTTTATTTTTATCTATTGTTTCAAAGTTCATGTTTTGCAAATATATGATTTTATGTACTATCAATGTAAATAGTAGTAGTAGTATGGTACATTTCTTCTAGAGACTAGCTGAAATTTTTTAAGGCATTGCTTCTTCAAGTACCTGGAAAGCATTGCTCATGCCATTGAGTCAGTTTATTGAAAAGTGAAAAATGCTGTTTGTCACCCTCAAGGAAAATGAGTAGCTTGAGTTTTCCAGGAAATTAGCTTGAACTAAATTGTTTTGCTATTGCTTATATCCAGTCAAAAGCACTGTCAAATTCCTGCAAGTTGATTTTAGATTTTAAATTTCAAGGGCTATTTAGTTTATCAAAATGTAATGAGTGCCTAACATGCACATGGAGAAGTTCTAAGATTGAAAATGACAACTGCCACCACCATAAAGATTGGGTTCTGCCTTCTAGGTACCAGTGTCTAGTTAAGGGAACAACAGCACAGTGTAAGTTCCATAATGGAGGTAGGTATACGGTTCCTGGAAACATAGATAAATAGTGGATCTTTTAATTTAATGTTTGTGGGGTGAGTTTTTGAAAAAGTTGTAGACAAGCGACATTTTATTGGCTTTTAAAGACAGATAAAGAGTTTCTTATTCAGATAAGGTAGAAGAATATTTCAGGCGGAAGGAACAGCTAGAGCAAAGGAAGAAAAGACTGATAATGCATAGCTATTTATGAAATGGCTCTTGATCTAGCTTATGGTTTTTACAGCAGAGAGTACATTGGATTGGAAGTATGGCAAGGGCACCCATCATGTAGAGCGATGCTTTTTGGAAAAGTAAATTATTACATTCCAAATCACAGTATTCTTATTTTTTCTATGTTAGATACCTTGAGGAGATTTATGATATACACTAGCTGGAAGATTTTCATCTGTGTGTGATGTCTTTAGCTTATTTGGACTTTTTTCAAGTAAAAAAATATTATTCCTTTGCTTTTCCTATGCTTTTAAAAAATTTATTGCAATGTGCTAGCTACCACACGTCAAATAAGGTAAATGTAAATTTTATAAACCATATTTCAAGAAGGTGATATAAATTGTACAAAAATAATACTTAAGATCTAGAAAATATCTTTGGTTTTGATTCATGTAGAGATATATGAGCAAACTTGTAAAAGGCAATACATTTAAATAATATGTGATTAATAATATCAGATTATGCATTAAAGAAATACTGTCTATGCTAATTTTGTAAAAGAGTTATCTGGGGAAGCTGGATTTTTTTTTTTTTTTTACTTACACAATCAAGCATGAATTCAAGAATTAAAACATTCTTAAATAAAACTAGCTGAAAGTTCCCTGCCATTTTCTTTGAGTATATTCACTGAATAAGACATCTTCATACTTTAGAACAGGACTATGTGTGTATGATCAGTAATTCAAATACGTTTAATAATTTTTATTAGACTTGCACTGGAATGTATTATCTGCATATATATAACTCTTGTTATAACAGGAATATTCCGATTTAACAAATGGTATGTGCTGAACTGTCTATATCCTGTTCTCTTCTTTGTGATCGATATCAAGTATTTTAGAAGTAATTAACTAGAATTATAGGTAGTCAAGCCAAATACAGAAGTATTAATGTAAGTTGTGTACGTGTGTGTTACATTCCAAAAATGATTTGAGGTTGTTGGAGTTGTATGTGTGATGCAGAAAAATCCACTATATTCTGTTAAATTAATTAATCAAGGAGGCCTTTACCCTGAGGTGGCTCTAATACTTAGGCAGCCTACAGAAGCAAACCAAAATCCAAGCCTATACATGCCCCAAAGTTATGAAATCATAACCTAAAGACAATCACAAACAGTAAACGAGGCATTAGGCTATAGCCAATCAATAATTTCCTGACTTCGCTCCCCGCTTTTCTCTATAAAAGTCTCTCCCCAGTTCTTGTCAGTGGAGCTTTCCTAACCACTTTCAGTTTGGTGCTACCAATTGTAATGGATAAATGCACAAACTCTTAAAATTTTAAATATGCCTCAGTTTATCTTTTAATAGTTCAATATATTTAAAAATATGAAATTCTTAGAAAATTTTAAAATAAATACTTTCTGTTTCCTCCATTAGCTGTTAAGAAGAAGGCTGGCTTTATCACTCCAGTTCCAGGAGGTGTGGGACCCATGACAGTGGCGATGCTTCTGAAGAACACCCTTCTGGCAGCTAAAAAAAGCGTTTACTAGATCGCATGAAAGAATAAGCAGGCAAAAGTCATGCTACCTATTTATGTAACAAAGGAAAAACAAAACCTTTATATTTTACTACAAAGCTATTTATTTCTACATTGTATTTATTTTTTCATATATGGAATCATTTTGGATAAGATGATTCACACAACTTTATGCATTTCCTGCTAACAGATTTTGAGTTTTAGAGGAAAACAAAACAATTTCAATGAAAACTTTGGTAACAATTGTTTATTTTGTGCATAATATTTGTCCATAATGTTAAAACAATAAAAGGCTCATAATAAATATTTTTGACACAAATAAATATCATATGCCATATCTTTTCAACAAGTGTTTTGTCAGCCAAATGGCACTCATGTAAAATGTAATTTAGATTTTGCCATAATCATGCTCAAGTTTTATATCTTTTATGTTCTATATCATATTTTGAAAAAGCGCTAACTTGCCAAAAGAAGGATAAACTATAAGAAACAATATCTTGATCTCATACATCTCCCAAATGCATCCTGAGGCATCCTAATAAGAAATGATATTCTATTCAAGGAAAGAAAAGTATACAAGGAAGAAAAAAAAAACAAAACAAAACTCAGTGCTACTTGAAAAGGTAATAATTATCTCAAATTGTGAATGACTACTTCCCATAGTAAAAATATAATAAGAATGTGTTAGGTTTATATATAATTTATTTGTCCTTCTAGAAAAATATGTGAATGATACCTTTTTTGAGGAATAATGGACAATCCAAAAGCAAACAAATACATAAAACAAAACTAAGGTGATCTTTTCCCACAAATGTCAGAAAAATATGACGTAATATGAGTGAGGCCTTCATTAAAAAACAACTGTTGTGTTTTTGTTTTTGTTTTTTCACAAATTCAGAAGTCTAATGAGAAAGCACACCTACCACGTGCCAATGCTGAACCTTAGGATACGACTAAAAATCGGCGTCTTGCCCACAATTCTTTCCTCTTCTGTTATTGCAGAGGTTCTCAAAGTAGATGTCATGTTTCTAACACAATTTAAATTAGGAAATATATTTGGCTCTCTCAGTTGAAGGCTATTTGGGAACTGCTGTAGCCACATAACTGTACTGTTTTCCTATCCAAATCCCAGTATATTTGTGTACTAATAATGATTCTTACCAATGCATGTCTGTAACAGTGTGTACACTTGATCATTTATGTGATAATAGACTAGATATTTAGAATTAATAGTATTTCAACTGTATAATAAAAGCAATTTGAATAAGAATATCTGTGTTCTTCTTTAGGATATCTGTAAGTTTTTTGTTCATGCATTTGTTATCTATTTCTTTACAGCATGCTGGGAAATATACAGGTTTTTCAAATATGAAAGAAAATGTTCTATCGCCCATTCTACAAACAGTTCAGACCAATCTTTGTCTGATAATCCTAGCAGAAGTTTAAATTTAAAGTTCCCATAAAAATATTTCAGAAAATTCCTCTTTGATTTTTAAGGCCTGCAAAAAAATGACCAAGAACAACAACAAAATAAATACAACAACAACAACAAAAATGACCCAAAATGCATAGAAAAAGCAAAGTCTGTAATTTTAAGCCCAATCCCCTTCCCCAAAGTCCAGGAGGAATTATTTTTGAAAAGTTTTTGCCCCTTTGGCTAAGCTAACATTCAGGAATGAGCCTTTCCAGAAATTAAAACACTGTAAAAGAAAAATTATTCTGACATTTGTTAAAAAGGGTAAGAAATACAGTTTTTAAGATGACTATAATAGAGGAGAATGAACTCAACTTCAAATACAGCAAAGACAGCTGTGGATTTATAGCCAACAAGCAGAGTGAGGGGATCAGTGGATGGGAAATTACTAAGAACTTGATTAGATATCAAGGGTAGGGGGATTCTTGCTAAACTAGCTTACCATGATTCTTGCTAAAGGTGGGCCAATGACTTAGATATCAAGCATGGATTTGATCAGATATGGGGATGGGGATTCCATAAACGGACTTAGTAGGATTCTTTTCTAAAATTGGGCTGAGCAGGCCAAGTAGAGGCCTAGTCAAGAAGAGGACTCAGGACCCTGACTAAAGTTTCCTCAAAGAGGAAGCCTTTGTCAACACATAAAGGAAATAAAGTTGGCTTGTTGGTACCATGACTTTATTTATGGATATTTGGAGTCCATAAAAGGTAGACTTACATTGATTTTGTGCAGGAGCTTTAGAGAGTAAATTTCTTTCTCCTGCAAGTATCTATAAAAAGGATCCTACAGAATTAATGAAGATTGAACAATAATACAAAGATATGGAAGCAAGAATGAGCTTAGTATATATATCAAAGCAAGGCTTACAGTCATACTAAAATGAAAAGTGTGTGTTGGAGAGTGGTAGAAATATAGCTGGAATAGATTAGAGAAAGCCTAAAAAAATTAAAATATAAACTGTATTGACTAAGTTAGAATTGTAAGTAGAGCCCGGAAGATGTTATCATTGATTAACATGAGAAAGTTGTAAAGGAGAGATGATTTTGGAGAAGAGATAATATCTTCAGTTTTAAGACATGTTGAGTTTGAGGTGATGATATAATATATAAATAGAAGTCTTGATGTACTATCAGTCTAGGAAGGGAATGAGAAATCATAGTTAGCGGTGAAAATTCAGGGCTCGCCGACAAGTATTAACCACTAAGTTCCCAACCCTATTGACCATTATACATGCCTCGTGTCTCTACAGTTGTTCAAAAATAAGTTATCCTTAACTGAGAGCCTATCATACGTTAAATGCTTTCATTTCTTTTTGTTATTGACAATGCCCATTTGGTACATGAGAAAATTTATTCTTAAGGTTATTAAAAAGCCTCAGCCAAGACCCAATGGATAGTAAATTGGAATTCAAAATAAGTCTGTGGGAATGGCATGAGCCAGAACCCACTCTCTTTGTACTACACCATTCTACCTGCCCTTAGTGCCCCTCCCCCACCAAGAATCCTTTCTCTTAAATTCTACTTGTAATTTCGTATTCGCTTCAAATGAAACCTGTCCATGAAAACTGTCATGAAAGTTTAAGTCCCACCCCTGGATTCTCAGTCATTTATGTACACATTCGTGGCAGTTATCAGTCCCTACTCTGTACTGCAGTTACGTATGTATTTTCCTTAGTTCCCTTTAGTTCCTTGAGGTCAGAATCCACACATGATTTGCAAATAGCATAACACTCAGCCAGAGCCAAGGATATTGTAGGCATTCAATATTTTATTGATAAATAAACTAATGAATGACAACTAAATTCATGAGAATTACAGAATAAGTTTAGAGAGAGATAAGCAATGCACTAATGACCATTTTCTGCCAATGTCCAGCAACAAATTTTGGTTGAGTTAGTGAAAAAACAAGAAAGAAAGAAAAAGAAAGGAAAGGAGAAGAGAAGAGAAGAGAGAATAAAAAGGAAAGGAAATGGAAAGAAAAAAAGAAGAGAAGGGAAGGGGAGTAAGATACTTGAAGAGATGTTTATAACTAGAGGAAAAAGATGAATTAATTAAAAAGACAAAAAGTTGTAGCAAGGAAAAAATAATAGTGGAGTGCCTCAGCTCTTAGCTTTCTCCTTTCTCCTGTGTTACTCCAACCTGCTCTAACATGTATCAAGAATGAATAAAGACGTCACTGAGGCCACCTTACAACACCCATCTCCCTCATTCTTCGGGACTGGGGAAAGGACTTTCTGATGAGAGGATTGAAGAAGCGAAGGCAGGAGACTCTCCTATAGAGAGTGTAAGTTGGATCCATCAGCATGAGTTCCAGAGGAAAAGAAGCATGTGAGATGACTTAAGAGCAATTTTCCGGTATAAAGTTTAACCTGAAACGGTAGGTGAGTTTCTATACGATGTGGCCCAACTCACCAGAGTAGGGAAACCTCTGGAGTGGCAGCGGTCCATTTCTCTCAGAACAAATGTGTGTGAAAGCCACACAGTTCATTTAATATTTATATTCTTATGGTAAAGGTAATTTATTTAAAGCTTGATTTTAGGAAATAAATAAGAGAATTCCTCTAAAAGCATATACCGACTTCTACCGGAGGACACAGCTGGGGAAATGGAAAGGGCCTATGAATTGGAAAATGAACATGAATTCAAGTTCAGACTTTGGGGCAGGTCCTTTGGCAAAGCACTTAAGTCTTTTGAGCCTCCATTTGTCATATGAGAATAAAAATAAGGCCTATTGTTTATTTCTTTATTGACACAAGACAGATTCACTGAGTGTATACTATATGTTAGGCACTGGATTTGTCAGGGCCAGGATTACTGAAGAGAGAATTGAGAGGCGCGTGAAAACTTTGTAAGATGCATAGCACTGTGGAAATGCCAGTTAATAGTTTTCGCAAAGGTGGTAGTCGTACTTTCATGCCTCAGTCTTAGAAATAAAGATATTTAATGTTAGTCCTAGCTTTTTCCTCTAGAAACTGCAACTGGTTGTGATGGCTTATTTAATCCTTTGTAAGTGATTCATTTTAAATTCTCACCAATGATGCAGAAAATGATTATTTGACTTATAATTCAAATATTATTTGTCTGGGAAAAATATTATCCAGAAATTATCTTAATAAATGGGTTTTAAAAACCCACAGAAGTAGAAATACACAATGTGGGCATTTAAAGTGAGCCAAGTACTATATATTCTTTTAACTTTAAAATGATGACGCGTGTGGTGATTGCCCAAGTTATAATGAGTTCGACAAGCTCATTCTTGTGTGATTTCTTAAGCCAAATTCATATTTGAATAGTAATAGGAATCCTTTCTGGTAATTGAATTTGCTGGGTAGACATGATGCAAATGATAACCAATCTTGACTTAAACAGCTTTTCTAGGTACAGAAAATATGCGCAATTGAAATTCCTGAGAGAAAGGCACAACACCTCCGTAAAACATATCTATAAATTATTCATAATAATTTGGGGCAAGTGAAAATTTATGGGAAGCTCCTTATAGTCACAATATGTAATAGCAATAATTACATGTTTTGGCCTTTAAAATGACACTTTAATAATCACAACTAAATTAACAGAAAAATTCGAATGTGGTGTTAAATTTAAAACTTTTTATTCATTAGATTACCAAACCTATTTTAATTTTATCTTAATGGAAACTTTTATTATTGTTATTATTATTATTATTATCATCATCATTATTTTGGTTCTTTACTGGTCCTCTCTAGCCAACTCATTAGAGCACAAATCTAATCACTGTAGTTTCCAGAACTTGGTAGCCCATTCCATTTACTCAGAAAAATATTAAATGGCAGAATGACATCATGGTCAATGTGACACTATTAAAAATAACATTTTTTTATTTTACAGAACTTGTAATAATAAAACTAGATAGCAAAAACTAAAGTGAAATATTAAACTTGTTTTTACACAAATGTAAGTTCTCCCCTGCCAATAAATTACAAAATATCTTCATTTGCAATGAAACTCAGTCTGCACTGAAAGGCACTGTAACTGACTGCAGGTTCAGGGATATTTCTTTTATTAACAGATTATGCTGTTTCCTAGTTTGCAAATATCAAAACTGCCTTTGTTAGAATCTGATATAGTTTGCCAGCAACTTTGGAGTTTGAGCTGTTCTGTTTACACTAATGGGGCCTTTCCTTAATTCAGATACTTTTGTTTTAAGTACTTTTTACTTTGGGGATTATGCCCACAGGTTACAAAAAAAAAAAATCAATGTTTCAAAAGAAAACTTGATCACATTGGGAGATAACACAGGTATCCTAATCGAGTGTGTGAGCGCCTCAAGGCTTTATGCTGCTGCCAGAAGCACATATTTTTTTGATTGGTAAGAACTGCCAGATGACGCTTCATGAAATATAAATGCAAGAAAGACTCAGAGAGCTCCATAGAAACCTTCTACCCGTCAGTCTAGGAGGATAAGAGCAAGATACTGTTAACAAGTGCAGGAGATGGCTTTCGGAGTTCCAGTATCAGTCTATCTCTTATTCAACGGTAGGTAATTTCTTTTTCTTTTGTTAATTTTATGTCAATGTAAAATGTGAATAGGGTTTGTTTTCTCTGAACTAGTGAGAAGTTGGCTTTTAACAGTTGTTCTTCATGACAAATATTAGAGCACAGAATCTGCAAATTAATTTATGTAATTTATGTTCCTCTCCTAATATTTTGACACCTCTTTTTTTGAGATCTTTAAAATGTTTGCTTCATAAAACTGAAGAGTAGTTAATACATTTTAACTACTATAAAATAACATCTTGTGATTGAATCAGTATATGAATAGATTCACTTTCTCTTAAATATTAATGTTTCTATTTTCTATCATTATAATGTAGTCGATGGATTTGGTATGGATGAGAAACTGAAGAAATTGCCCTAGTCATGTTATGGATCTCAAATATAAATAAGTTAAAAATCGAGCACAAGTGGGAAACAATAGAATAATTTTCAATCTGTTGCTTGTACATAAAAGGAGTCTCACCAGCTAAAGATGCCTTTCCCCACTTCGTATAGCAATGACAGCGTTGACTGAAGAGATGGCCATGAATGCAACACCCACAGTAACAACCCAGCAAAGTAACTGGACAATTAACAAAACAGAAGGTATTTTCTTCTTTTGTATTTCAAGTGGCTTCTTTTTAACTTTAGGGAGAAATTTTGATTGCGATAAAAGCAACATTGAAAAATTTTAAATACATATTTTATTATTAAATAATCAACTCTTTTAGCATGATGCTGTTAAACGAAAGTGACAGGTAAATGTATCAGCAAAGAATTCCTTTGTAAAGGGAGGAAGTAAAGAAAATGAAAGAAATTAAAGTTGTCTTCACTTACTGTCCTGAATGTGGAACATGCCACAATTTCTGCTTGATTCCTCCTTTGTTCTTGATAACCCGCAGGTGTTCAGAGGCAGTTTGTCACCATTTTGGCATTATATTTTGTTCTGTGACTATGAGCTCTGCAGTCAAAGAAGTTATGGCTACAAGATGAAACATTAATTCACATCCCCTTATCTTTGGAAATATCGTTTTTCTTGTTTGTTGTGGAGGGTTTTGTTGTTGTTTTAGCATAGGTTATAATTCTAACCACTTCTATTTAATTTTTATTATTGATGGTGATAATGGGTCTTCTTTCTTATTTTATTATTATTATTAGAATAGCTTTTGGCTGCTGTTAAACATAAGCATTTTTTTCAAACCTGTTTGAACTCTTAGAGGTGAACTTGGAAAGCTGTTACCGGCCAAGAGCTGTGTACTGGGTGATTATGATCCTTATGCAGATCACGCACTCCTTCCCCCTGATGTGGAGATAGGTGACCTGACACAGAACGGAGGAAAAACCATATCTTGCTTTCAGAGCCAGGTGAATAAAAGAAGATTAAGTCAGATATTTTGTTTCTGAATATAAAAAGCAGTAATATTTAAGGATTCTTCATTTCACCAACTGTTTTAAATTTTAAAAAAAAATTGCCCATTTGAGTTTTTAAATATCTATCAATTTGCAAAATAAAATCAGTATGGGTTTTAGAATAACTTCTTCTACATCTTTACATCTTCATGTCTTCCAAGCGTTTGAGCAAAGAGGGAAAGTCATATCTTCATTAAAAGATAATATCGCAGAAAATTAAGCTGTGGCTTCTCTCGGTGACTGAGTTCATAACAGTCTGCCCAGCACCACCTATTTTCTTCCTTAAGAGGGAGCTGCAAGTAAAATTCTCCAAAGTACAGGTAATAATGATGGGGAAAAAAGTGATGAAATATATCATCTCTATATTTTTCCTTTGCTTTCTTGATGGAGAACTTTAGTTTGCCTTGCTTTTTATTTAACTTAAAAATCTGAATCCAGCATCTTAGGAAGTTTTTTATGGAGTTATAACTAATAATCTTCTCCTTATAGGAAAGATGAATCTCTCTAGAAGATCCTTGCTTTAGAAATGCCTTTTTTAGGTCCTCACATTTTCTAGCAGATCCTGGTTCAGGCTTGGTTAATTGAACTTAACCAAGGTTAAGGAAGAACTTAGCACAGTTTATAATGTGAAAGTCTCACTGTTTTAGAATTAATTATTAAAATGAGAAATTAGATTCTCTACATCATTTTCAATAAAATTAATGTGAATTTTTTAAGATAATATTGTATATTCTCAACCAAAATGAAGTTGTACAACACAAGATCTCGTTTCTATCTTAGTATCTAAAGATTTAATATTTTCAATATTAAATATGCTTTTTTTGATCTAAACAAATAAACAGGAATCTCTTAATCTACTTAGCAAGGCAAATATGGTATAACATGATAACTAAGGATGAGGAGATAGTCATAACATATTTATTCATAACAATGACAAAATAAAATGCCAGTAATTCTGTTGATAAAAATTTAAGAATCAGCAATTAAAATACACCAAAAAGGGCTCAGTTAAACAGTTTTACCCATGCCATTCTCACTGTATAAACTCCAATAATGATATAAGTATTTATCTTTTTATATAGGGAATGAGGAGTAAACATCTTGAAATATATGTATTTTGTCACAACATAATTTCCCTTTGGGAAGTTTCCCATAAGGAAGCTCTGGACACTTGAACACAAAAGTTCTGCCAAGTGTAGTCACTTGTGTAGATTAGAGCTAGAAATCAAAACCCAGGCTTTTAAATTCTAACTCCAAGGCTTTCCCCACTATTTTATGTCTCTTAATGGAGTAAAATTTCTAATTAATATTTGAAGGTACTGTCTTAACTATGTTAATCCTGAACCATAAGCTGTTTCTGGTTTCGTGAATAGGTAATAACGATTTCTCTTCTGAAACAGTTATGAAAAATGTACCCTTTTTAACTAGCTACTCATGGTAGTCCATATAAGAGGAAGAGGGGAATCCTTGTCTCACTCTCCTCTGGGAGAAGAGAAGACGAATCAAGTTCATTACCTAACGATTATACATCCAAATCTTCCTAAGTGCTGACTTCTTAGGTATAAAAAAGGAAAATGAAAAAATTGTGAGGTTTTTTTATACTTACTCGCTTTCAGGCATACATTTGAGAAGCCTTGCTTAAGATAGTCTGCTAGAAATGGAATCACTGCTGCCACCTTTTGGCAAACTCATATCTATACCCTATTACATAGCTTCTAAAGAATGGATCGATTTACCTCCATCCCCTAATGAATTAACGATATATCTAGATTATACTAACCCAACCTTTGTGAATATAACCTGCCAAGGGAATCAATCAATAGTTCAATGGACGGAGCAGCCACAGAATATTCTTACAATTAAAGGTGTCTTTACATATGTTACTAATATACTATAAAAATGTGATCCCCATCTGTTAATATTGTTTCTCCTTTTCTTAGCTGACTACACAAAAGGCCCTATAGCCTTAAAATTGTCACATCCTTGCCTGGAAGACCACAACAGTTACTGTATCAACGGTGTCTGTGCCTTCCATCATGAGTTGAAGAAAGCCCTATGCAGGTAATTGCAAAGAACTGAGGCAAGAGAAGGTGAATTTATGCCTCTGGTGCCTCACATAGTACATTTCCACACATTTCTGTTTTATGGAGCAAAAAGAGCACATGACCTGAATGTGACTCACCAATCTTCTTTGTATTTGAATATCTACAGAGTCTCTTTCTAAGCTACCTAATCCTCATTACTCAAAAATATGGTTCCCAGATTAACAGCATCTGTGTAACCTGGGAGCTCGTTAAAAATACAGAAGCTTTAGCTCCACCTCAAACCTATTGCATCTATATCAGCATTTTAACTACAGGCAAAGATGATTCCGAGTTTTCATGGGGTTGATTATAGGGTGAAATGAAACAGACTATGGCAAAAACGCTTCAGGAATATAAAGTTCTAGAACAACTAAGATACTATTTTTATGATAATTGATTTGTTCAGCATCCTCCTATGAAATACTGGGTTAATAATTTTCTAGATCAATGCATGCAAGTGTAAGTACTACTTTTCCCTTCTACCAATGAGAAAAGTTGGATTGATATAGGACCTTAATGAAACGATTATTGCAAAATATATAGCTTCTTTAATACTTGTAACAAATTGAATTTTATTTGGTATTTGCCTCTTTAATTTAAATTACTTACTTTCCATTGAAATTTTTTTATTCTTTGAAATTGGTCATTTCTTTGTATTTCTATCACCATGAATTTTAAAATTATGTATTCTTTTCTTTTTGTAAAGGTGTTTTACTGGTTATACAGGAGAAAGGTGTGAGCATTTGACCTTAACTTCATATGCTTTGGATTCTTATGACAAATACATTGCAATTGGGATTGGCGTTGGATTATTATTAAGTGGTTTTCTTGCTATTTTTTACTGCTACATTAGAAAGAGGTATGAAATAAAACAAAATATGAAGTCACTGGGCACTCGTTCATTTGAAAAATATTTATTGAGCTCCTATAATGTACCAGGCACTGACATGTATAGTATTTTAGCGAATATATGATTGTAAATCTGGCAAGTTCCTATATATTTGTTTTAATGCCTTTTCTCATAAACCCAGGCAAGCGGTAAAAATTTACCTGCAGTCGCAATAGGATAGCTCTAATTTACAATTTCCCTCCATCCCCATTTTGTCTACCTACATCAAAGTTATAAATGAGGAAGACAGTACATCCCACAAGGGTAGATATGAAGTGTGTCTTATTTACAATTATATTTTCAGTGATGAATACTTTGCCTGGCACACAAAAGACACTCATTAAATATTTGTTGAATGAAGAAATCAAGAAATGAGTATTAAATGAATGCAAATTTGTGACATAGGCCATTTACCTCCCAGACACTAATTAAGGGTATAATCAGGCTAAAAGCCTAAGAAGATGAGCTTGATCCATTAAGCATAAATTACTTATATATTAATTCTTATTTCTGGCTTATCCATACTGGTAATTTTTTCCTTAAGTCTGCGTAACTAGGGAAAATCAAGAAATAATGGGAGATAAATAAAAAAGTATAAATGCATTTCCTTGCTGTATTCTATCAACCAAATTGTCATTTTAAAAATGACCAAGACTGACTGTACAAAATAAGAAAAATTTTAGTTGCCGAATAATTGCATCTGAGAATAAAATCTGTTATACTAATTCTGAATCAATTAATATAAAATCTGTCTCATCAATTGACCAAGAAAAAGAAAAAGAAAAACAAAAAAACAAGTAGACCTTTTAATGTTAATAAGACAGCTACCTGAGGTCAGGTTCCCTAGAAGCAGAACCTAAAATGAGGATTCTTGTGCAAGTGATTGATTGAGGGACACCCAAAGTGAAACCTATAAAGAAGTAAGGAAAACTAGGGCAGAAGAAAGTACACACAGATGTGGCATTAGCTGAAGTCTAGATCCACAGGCAGATCTCAAACTTAAATGGCATTACAGACCTATCTCAAGAAGGTGAGAGATTTTGGCTTTAGTATCCCGCATCATCAAGCATGGGTGGCAGGATGGTCTTGGCAGGAATGGAGGGCGGGGACAGAAATCTCCCAGGAATCTTCAGGTGCAGTGTGCTGTTGGACAAGGGCAATTCTCTGGATAGGACACTGTTGTAAGCCTGTTAACACCCACAGATGCTGGGAGATGGACCTGCTTTACCAGTGGGTAAAGCACATCTGGTGGGGCATTGATAGCAACTGCTTCACCAGAACGTTTATAGAACCCCCAGTAAGCTACACAAACAGCAGTCACATTCATATGGAAATCAATGCTCTGTTTTAGGTGTCTAAAATTGAAATCGCCTTACAATTTCTGTTCTGGAGGAAGACCACTGTGATGCCTTTGTAAGAAATTTTCATGAGGCATTTGTAAAAATCAGCGGGCCCAAAATTGAAATCTTCAAAAGAAACGAAACTTCCCACGCTGGCTAGACTCGAAAATAACGGAAGTTGGGATCATGATGAAATGAGAGGATAAACTTCAACAGTGATCTTTAGACTTTGCCATTTTTGGGATGCCATGGGAGCCCCATGAATCAAGCTTACAGTGACAGAAGTCAAGTTCATAGGACTACTTTGGGTGTGTTGCTGTTGTTGTGTGGTTATTGTTCTCACTGCAGAGAGACTGAGTATTGTGCTTCTGACCATGTCAGATGTGAATTTTCATGAGAATAATGGTCAACCTTGCACAAGCCAGAGCAATGCCACATTTGGGGTCTTCACTTGCTTGCTACCAGTTTTTCAGACCTCTGCTCTGTGGAGCTAATCTCAAAAATGCTACTTTTATGGTGTCTCAGAGGATGTGATGTCAACTATTAGGAAGAGATCAGTGTTATGGAACCTTCAGTGAACCAAACATGTGCCTGGAGTCTAAGCTAGAGATAAGAAAATGGAATGTCCGAGGCAGACATACATCATACACGGCTTGTGACAACACTACGGAAACTTTATGTGTGAAATATGGAATAAACTACAGAGTTTCTGGCTGAAAGGTATCTGGAGATCAAGCCCTGAGTAGGCAAAATATTTCTGTTTCTGAATGGATTATAAAACGAGTTGGACATTGGTCTCCTAATGCTTATGTCCATCACTTCCTCCTATTATTAGTGGAATTACCCATTTGGACTGAAATTCTAGAATTCTACTAATAAATGAAATTCTACACTTGGCCCTAAAAGAGAAACTGAGAAATCGGACACAGGAATTTTTTCATCGGCCGACAGCACGTGGAAACCTTCTTTACCATTTCTGAATACTTGATAGCAGATTTGCACATAGAGAAAGAAAATGAAACGGTGGTAGAAATAACTATTTGGGAAGTAAGGTCCTTCCTCTTTAATCATATTTCTTCCATGTAGTTAGAATAATCTTGGGCAGGACCCTTAATTTCTTTGAGCTTCAGTTTCATTTTCTACAAGGCCCTTCTAGCTCTAAAATTTGACAGTGAGAGAAGAAAAATTTCCATATCTGTGCTGCAAGTGGGATTATTCTCAACCCCACCTCTAAACCCAAAACACACCACTGGATATCATCTTAGGTATATATTTTAGCATTCGTTTTGTAAAATGATAATTTAAAAATTTTGTTTTTAAAGGAAGTAAACATAAGATTTAAAAATAATAGCTACGATTTTTCTTTTAGATTCAGTCTAAAACTCTGGGCTTTCCCCCCTCATCGTGATGTTGATAAACAAACCAATTTTGATGATGAGATAGGTGAAAAGAGGCTCAAATGTGAATAGTCTCACAATGGTAGCCTAATAACAAGGCTTTCGATTTTATTAAGTTATGAGTTTGCATTCACTCCTAAACAAAACTTTACATTCTGCTTTCTTTTGAGTAGAAGGTATTTCACTTGCTTTGTTTGCCTTCAGAGGAACTTAAGGCAGATAAACTGCATGCCAGCAGTTTCTGCATGTCCAAAGTATGTAAAGGTTTACATCATACCAAGGAGTGGGGAGGTGAAGGTTCCTCCCAGTGACTCCAGTAACCACACCTAGAAAGCTATGCTCTTCCTGAGGATTTCAAAAAGGTGTTAAAAAGCTGGGGAGAGTCCAGGAAGAAACAATAAAGCTTAATTAAGGACTGCTTCCTGATGAAAGAAAAGAGTAATTAATGCTGGAGTCTGGATTCACCTGTGGAAAACTATGCATTAACAGTATAAAATGCACACAGTTAAGTCTGTACAGAAATTTAGAGAATGGTTCATGAGAAGCTATCTGTTATTACATAGTCTGCCATACACAATAATCTTGCGTTCCCGTAACTCCTTGTGTTAAATTTGCAGGAAGGAATCTCTGGCATTCCTATAGTGCTAGAGTCCCACCTGGCAATATTAATGTAGGTAATCAGGACTTAAGTAGAGAAATGCATAAATATAAGATGTTCTGTAAATTTTTTCATCTTTTATTTTTTTCCTATGTGCATTAGGACCCTGAAAAAAGCCTACCAGTGAAGCCCTTGCATCAGAACTACATTTTCAGCTATCAACCTATGGATCATTAGGTGGGGTAGATAATTTAAGAAAGAAATAAGAACATGTTTCTGGCATTTTTTACTAAGTCAAACTGGCCAAGAGGTTCATTAATGACTTTCGGTTCCTGTTTTGTCTCCTTCCTGTGTCTGTCCTTCAATTCTTTGAGAACATTCATGAGTCTTCATTAGTTAGCATTTTGAAGCATGATGGGAGTGAGAGCAAACACTATAATTTTAGTCATACTCAAGCCAGTAAATTTATAAAAAGGGAATTATAGTTGCTTGTTATTGTATTTTCTTACCCCAAATTAGTTTTTTTGTATAATTATGTTTTTATAATGAAGTAGATGAAATTATAACATAGTTCATCTTTTAGTGCTTCCTGGCACAATACAGATCTAATCCTTTAATTTTAAAATGTCCATTCTGGTGACATCAAGATTTTATTCATTCTATGTAATGGAAAAAAAAAGTCTTAAAATCACAAAACAAACACCAGTGATTTAAGTTTTAGATGTTGAACATAAGGATAATTCCTTTCTGCAGGAGGCCAGGAGTAAGCCATTTAACTGCATTACAAAATGTAATACACTATAAATATTGATAACCTACAACTCACACTATAGGAAGGGTTATCAGAAATGTAATTCTCTGCATTACAAAATGTAACACACTATAAATATTGATAACCTACAACTCACACTATAGGAAGGGTTATCAGAAACTCCCAATTGCAAAGTATCACTCTTTCTGGCTTATATCATGACTATATGACATCAGGATACTAGCATCTGACAAAGTGACATAGAAGTATTAAAATTTAATTTGTCAGAGTCTGACAATGCAAATCTAGGTGAGTCCACATTTCTATCCAAATCTCTGGTGCAACCCTATTCAGTAGCACATTCAGAAGCATATCTTCAAAATTTAGCTCCAAATTCTGTTAATTAGTCAATGAAAGTATAGCTCAGAGTCCAAGAGCCTAAGCAGTTAATTTCCTAAGACAAAGGCTAGGCCCCTTGAGAATATCCATGTGAATAAATGTGTCCCTTCATTATATTTTACTCCTCTGCCAAAGCTAAACATGACAGATGTTCCAGATTGTGGACAACACCCACAGCTTCCAAAGAGACATCTCATAAAGATTAGGAATGTGATTACATGGTAACAAGGAGAATTGAATTGTTTAGTCAGACCTTATCCATATGTGTCAGGTCTTTTCTTTGTAATTTTTATGTCTCAGATATTATTGGAGCATAAATCATTTAGATTGAAATTAGGTGAAGACCACAGTCAAGCAGGTATCAAACTCACAGTGCTTTTGATCTTTAAGAGGATGTCAAGCAGGCCTCACATCTTTCTGGGAAGAATGGCACCTCTAAATCTTTAAATCGCACAAAAAATATTGAGTCAATATTAAGTCTTTTCACAAATCAAGATGAAGCAATTATGTAATATAGCTGCCATTTATGGTCACTTACAATGTTTGAAAAGCATTATTAGCATCATATTAATTAATCCATGTCTGTGTGTAATTGAGGCTTAGGGAAAGCAATTCACTGTTTCAAGGTGACATGGACTTGAAGCGCAGAGCCTAGACCTGAACCAGGTAACTCTGATGCCGAAGTCTCTCATCTAAGCTCTACAGGGTGATTCTTCTCAATATTTTATGGAAAATATTATTGCTGGTGGTTAATTTCTTGAGCTTAGAGATATACTCAAGTGATTTTTATGCAAATGAAAAAAATTCTTTTCTTTAAAATATATAAAATAATAAATTTTGTCATGGATCAACCACAAAATTTCCCTACTGTCATCTGCAGAATATTAAATATGCATACCATCCTTAAGGTGGGGCCAAAACATGCCTCAGGTGCCTGCTGACAGGTGAATGTATAGTCTGGGGAGAGACTCTAGACTATAAATGTACTCTGGTTTATCCTGAGGACTCAGGGGACAAGAAGGTCACTTGGGAATACTCGACCCCAGAATGTAGACAAGGGTTCTCGGCACTGACATTACCCTAATTGAGACATGCCTGGCTCAGTTTGGTGATGGGATGAGGAATGAGTGGTTTTCACACTTTGGTAAAATCTCATCAACAGCTTTTCACTATATTACCCTCAATCTTACTCTTAGCCCCACATAAACCTTAGAGAAAAACAGTGGTGATGATCCAGTTTAGGGCAAAAATTGCAAGCAACTTTAAATAATCTGTGCAATGGACACCTAAATGACCTGTAATCTTGTCCAGCTGGTGCCCTTTGGACATGATATTCTTGTCTGTTGAGTGGAGAAGGTAGATTCTAAAGGTGGTCTCTACATTTCCTTCCAGTTTGGAAATTGTATGTTGAAAATAAGCAACATATAAAGCCGACCCAGCACGCAGATGTATTTACTTCGGTTTTCCCAGTGTTTGAAATGAAGCTCACATCTAGAAATCAAAATGTTTTCCTATGAAAATCTAGCTTTTCTAGCTTCTTTTGTAGACTAGAAGATATAGAGCAGTGGCCCTACATTCCTATACAGATTTGGTTAGAAGGAGTGTGCCCTAAACACTCAGCCTGCTTCTGTCACATGATCATTATTCCAGGTTCCTATGGGCCTTTACATCTGCACCCTTGATTTCTTTGACTGGGTTGATTTTAAGATCCTGCCTCATCTGAATTGTTCTGAGTCTAGTCATCAAGATGCCTTTAGAGGGCCTCGTTGGACTACAAACTGCACAAGCCAAAAAGAAACTCGGGTTGGGTTGCCCAGGAATGTGCTCGTTAGGAGAAACCACATTCACCTGGAAGCTGGCAGCCTCCGATGACTCAGACGCTGCCCTGCCCACGCCCTCGTTCGCTCTCGGTTACAATCTTTAGAGTTGTTTTCTGTGTTCACCTCCGCTTATGTTGCCTTCCTGCTCAAAAGCCGATGCTGACTTCCTGTTGTAGGCCATGTTTAGGAAAGACTCCTTTCCCAGCAGTGTGGCCCTCCCACAGGAGGGTCAGGGGTCTCCCTTTCTCATCTGCCCTCCCAGCGTTCCCCACGCAGACCCCACAATTTCTATGTTAAGGTCTCTGCCGTTTCCTTCACATATGTTACCCTCCTTCATCCGTCTGCCAAGATCCTATTTTTTTTCTAATGTTGTTTTTTCCTTGAAAAACTATGATATTTACAAATGCGTCTCTCCCTCCTTTGAACTCCCTGGGCATCCTTTGTTAAAAAAACAAAAAGAACAAAAAAACCAATGGTGCTTGCATTCTGCCTTGTGTTATAATGATTTATGTTTAAATTCCAGAGGTAATAAGATTAATAATGGAGTTCATTCATTACATCCATGCCGCAGACTAGGCACAGTGCTAAGTAATTTACATATAGCATCTGTTTCAATCCTCGGAGATAGCCAGGAGCAGGTTTAATGGGGGCTGTGGTGAACAGTAGTTAAAGAGACCAGTCTTTGGAAATTAGCTGACTGAGGCTTAAATCCCAGCTCCACCCATCAAATTTCTTAACTTTTCTAAATCTGAATTTTGTCATTTGTGGAAAGGGGATAATATTTATCTCCTAGAGTGTTTTGAGGGTAACAGTAAGTGATCAATTAATATTAACTATTTTATTATGATTGCTTTCCATTTTTCAGATTAAGAAACTGAAATTATAAAGTTTAAATAATTTGTTCGATGATATGCAGCTAGTAAGGGGTGGAACCTGGATTTAACCCTGAGGCTGTCCAGTTCTAAGGCCTGCTTCGCTCAGCACAGTACTTGGACCATTAGTACTTGGACCATGGCTGATGCTTGGCCAATGTTGTTTGAAGCAAGATCTGTGATCTCAGAGAGCTGGGTTTTTGAATCCCAATTGTTTAGTAGTTCCACGATGAAGAACGAACTATTTAATCCCTCTAAATCTTAGTAGCCTCCATTATAAAATGAGGGTAATAATTATACCTAACCCAGAGGGTCATTTTAGGATTAAGTTAAATTAGATGTATATAAAATATCTAGAACACAGTACTCTTTCAATAAATATTACTTATAATTATTAAGTATTTG